TCAAAAACTTCCCCCACATAGCCAAGTCAGCCTTGGCGTGGGGGTCCAAAGAAACTGTGCCGGAGTCCGGGACTTCATGGAGCAGGCAAAGAAGTCTGGAAATAAAAAGACCTTCCCTGCGGAATGATGCGCATGGCGAAGTTCAGAGATCCAAGAAGGGACTGAAGTTCTCTCCTGGTGCAAACGTCACTCCGCAGGAACGTGTCTATCTCCCCTCTCAATCGTGAAAGTTTGTCGTGTGGAAGGCTAGCTCTGAGTTTGACAGAATCGATCTCTATGCCTAAAAAGGTCAACTTAGTTGTGGGTCCTATAGTTTTGGCTGGGGACAAAGGGACTCCAAGTGTGGAAAAAAGGGCGGTAGTACTATTGATTGCTGTGGGTGTTGTTGACCCTGGCTCTATCAGTAGAAAGTCATCTAGATAGTGAATAACGGAGTGACACCTGATGACGTTCAGAAGCAGCCAGCATAGTGACTCTGCGAAAATGTCGAAAAGTTTGGGGCTGCTTCGGGAACCAAAAGTGAGTCGTGTTGAGAAGTAATAATACCCTCGCCATTTAACACCGTGTAAGTGCCAGAGTGAAGGGTGTATGGGCAGTAATTGAAAGGCGTTAGTGATGTCTGTTTTGCTGAGCCAGGGTCGATTACCAGATGTCATGATGGACTGTATGGCGTCGTCGATGGTGACGTACTGCAGAGAGAATTCGTCCGCTGGAATGAGTGCGTTTATGCTTGGAACAAAAGAGGAGTGCGGTGCCGATAAATCGATAATGAGACGTTTTTTATTAGAATATTTGTGAATAGCAATACCAATAGGGTTAGTGCGCCAGGAGGAAAACGGTGAAGAGGTGAAAGGACCGATCATGAAACCGTTTGTGGTTTCTGCGGAAATGAGAGTGTTTACAGCGACTGGGTCTAAACGTGCAGACTGGAGATTAGGACATTCTAGTGTACCTGGGGGAATGGCTATTATGCCTGTGTGAAACCCTTGTGAGAAACCTGTGGTGAGAAAATCCACTAAGTGCCTGCTGAGGTGACACCTTAGATAAAAAACCAGGTTGTCGATATTTATGTCGGTTAGTCATTTGTTTGGTGACAACCTGGCTGGACACATGGTCTTGGTATGTGCCCTGAAACATATGGAGCAGATGTGCAATAATCTACAGGCGCTGAAACTGCAGGAGCCTGCGTTGAAATTATTGCACACCTGTGCTTTATCTAAAAAGGAGATGGGCCTACCCAGCTTATCCCGGAGACCACCCGCTGGCTTGTGAGGGTTGAAAGAGGAGTGAGGTGTGAACGTGGGGTGAGGGGTGAGAGTGGAGGTGGTGGGATCTGGTTCGACGGGACATAAGTCCGCCATGTGGGATGTGGAATTACAGATGGCACAAGCCGGGGGCCTGAGTCCGGCGAAGTGGCGACAGAAAAGTTCAGTGTCCATCTGACCCCAGTTCATTCTAATGTTGAACTGCTTGAGATGGGTCGCCGCCTTCGCTGAGACTGACTTGTGGTAGTTATAGAAGGAAGAGCCCCCGTACTTGATGCCTAGATCCACTACCTTGTGGAGATAGAGATCTAGCTCTTCTCTCCTATGGGGATACACCGTGCAAATGACGTCGCGGTATATCCCGAAAGCTATCACAAACTGTGGGATAGACAATTTTTATTAAGCCTGGGATCCCTCGTTTTAAGCACAACAGAGATGTCACCATAATTGTATGCCTTGTTCTCGAGTACATCCTGAGAGGCTATGAGTAAAGACACCAGACACACATCCTTCCCATCAAGGATATCTTTCCTGATAGAATCTGGGACGGAGTGTGCTGGTGACTCGAAAGGTGTGATGGCTGTGCCAGGTGCTGGAGGGGGGAGTATAGAGGGACATGTAGGTATGGCAGGTACAGCCGTGGTAGAGACTGGGACTATGGTGTTAGTACCTGAGGAGGAGATGGCGCTCTCCACCTTAGACAGCCTGTTATTGAGGGCCTGTAGATTGGCCAAGATATCTGCCAGGGTATCCTGGGTGGCCGTGCTGGTACTTGGTGGTTGTCCTTGAGAGCTAGTTCCCGGCCGAGGCTCGGGAACTTGGTGGGTAAGCAGCCTGTAAAGTTCTGCCTTTCTAGCTGTGGCCGGAAAGGGGATCCCCCTGAGCCTAAGCTCGGCCGTGATTTTGGGAATAGTCCATGCTCTCAAGGACGTGGGGGTTGAAAGAGTGAGTGATTCGCCTGGAGACACGGGTCTGATTGGCGTGAATGGTGCTTCTTCTGTCAGTTCTTCGGTTGGAATTGGTTCTTGGGACATTCTAAAAGGAATGATTATGTGAAAGATATATTAGAAGGGGAGTGAGGTAAGAAGGGGGGGTATGGGGAGTGGTGTGTCTTGAAGAACTGGACTTTAATGCTAGATGCCGAGGCAAAAAACTTAACTATTGAATGACTGGATAGGTGAGGCCCTGCTAATGCCAAGTGGCGATGAGAGGCTCTACCTATGATTTGGCTTATGACGTAGGTGCCACAGACGTGGTGGCGGGATGTTGGCCTCTCGGTGACGATAAGAGAAATCAAAACGTGTGGCCGTGACAGGCGAGGCCCTAACTAGAGCCCTGTAGTAAGGCATGCGAGGCTTATAACTATGATTTGGGCGTGGGGCCGTACCTCCGTGTTGAGGTGGGGTGGGGGTGGTAGGCCTCGCGGGATCAGATTTCCTGATAGGGTGGGCTAAGGCATTAGCCTGTGCCATATAGCCAGTTCGATAGTATGCTAAAGGGTAAAGTTAGAGGACTGGAATGGTGTGT